CTTTGGCCACTACCTTGTGATGTGCCGCAAGGTTTGGTACTCTCCCCACTCCTCTTTAACATCTACATGAAGCCACGGAGTGAGATCATCTGTTGCCACAGGTTGAGGTATTTGCAGTTTGCTGATGACACCCAACTCTATATTTTCACCTCTGGTGATTCAAGCGATGTTGCTGTTGCTTCTCTCTCACCATGCCTGGAGGCTGTAGGGGGCCTGGATGGGGAACAACAGGCCAAATGGCTTTGGGTGCATGCAGCCCCAAGATCCAGGACTTTAACATCTTTAGTTCTGAATGAGGTGGCACTACCTTAGATGGATCAGGTCTGCAACTTGTGGTTTCTCCTGGACTTGTGACTCCTGCTCAAAAAGCAGGTGGCAGTCACAGCTAGGAAAGCCTTTGCACAGCTTCAGGCCTCTCCTGCCTCAGGACTCCCTGCGCTTAGTCATTCAAGCCCTAATCATCTCACAGTTGGACTATTGCAACTTGCTCTACATGAAGCTACCCTTGAAGAGCATTTGAAAGCTACAGTGCAGAGTGCAGTGGGGATCCCGAGGGTGGCCCAGGAAAGCTGCACAGGCTGTGTTTGTTTCTGGGTGCAATTCAAAGGTGACGGTAATTACCTTTAAAGCCCTTCATGGTTTGGCCTAGCCTACTTGAAGGACAATCGGGATTGCACCATGCTGGTAGGGGAAGCATGTTGTGGGTTGCATCAACCAGAGTATTCTGGTGGATGGTGTCTTTCTCTACTATTTGCCTGCCCTTTGGAACACCCTGGAGTGAATGAGGTCCGCTCCAACTCTCCGTATCTTCCTTAAGAGCCTAAAGACCTGCCTCTGCTAGTTGGCCTGGGGCTCCAATGGAGGGGCTTCCAACTGGGGAGTGGTTGATAGATTAACAATAGATCCCACCTCCCTCCCCCCCATCCTAGGCCCTCCTTCCCCTTCTTTTTAGCTAGGTTGATTTTTATAGCACTATGTTTATTTCAAACTGTTTTGTACAGTTTTATTTTTTTTTAATATTGTAAGCTGCCCAGAGTTACTGTGTGGCAAGATGGGTGGCTAATAAATTGTACTAGTAAACAAATAAAACAATTTTATTCATCCATCTTATTCAATTCTTTCTTGTAGGTGTCAGAAGTAAGTCTTCATCCTGGTTCATCCAAGCTGGGAATAAATAAGCAACATGGAGACTGCTCTGGGAAGAAGGTTACAGTTTATTGAAGAAGAAGAAAGGTGGTCCTTGTAGGAAAGAGCAGAGGAGAGGAAAGGGGAGTTGAGCACATGGGCAGTAGGTTTTTATACCCTCTCTAGCCTTGTTTGGAATAGTTTCCTGTTCCTGTGGCATGAACCTTGAGGCTGTTTCTGAGTGTTTGTCTAGGCCTTGATATCTGTGGTTTAATCGCATTATCATATCCTGCTTCCCAGGTGTTGGGGGTATGCAGATCTTCTCTTTGTCTTCTTGAGTGCTCTGGCTTCAATTCTCTGATGGCTTTACATCTGCATTTGTATGGGGCTAAAGTCTTGCTTGGGGCAGAGAGATAGATTTGGGGCCAGGTTTGGTTTTAAAAAAGTCCTTTTGAGGAAAAATATATTTTTCTGCCCTTTTTAATATTTCCTTCTCTGGGCTAACTTCCCTCATAGGATACAAGGCTTAATGAACCCGAAGAAAATTTTAAAAAGTACAGGGTGAGGCAGTGGAATTCTGTGTTTTAGAGAGGAAATGAAAAATGAAACAGAAGAGAAAATAAAACAGAGACTTCATTGGACAAGCAGATTCATCTCAATGGGAAAGTATTCGTAAATATCAAACTCTTTAAAAAGTTGACAATATTTTTTAAAAAAACCTATGATGAAGAACACATCAGTCTCCCTAACATCTGACTCTGAGTTTGAAATAGCTATTCCTGAACATAGTTATTCCAAAGAGAAGATAAAGAGTTTTTAACATTACACACATTAATTGAAACACTTGTGGAAAAATATGCTTGCTACTCCAACACTGTTTTATTGATGAAAACTAATAGTCATGAAATTATCATTGCTTTTTCTTTTAACTTCTTTTTTGCAGTTCATACAACACTATGTAAATCCTTCTACATTGTCCAGAACCATGATTCAATGAATGGTTGCATGGTTTACTATTATCCCCGGATAATAGTCCTTGAATTTGATGAATGGACTATAGACTACAACAGTGAGTGTCCTAATATTTTTTTTACTCCTTAAGGGATTGCAAATTCTCTGTAGCCTTTGCTAGAAGTAACTGTGAGAGGGACCTCGGAGTCCTAGTAGACAATCACCTAAATATGAGCCAGCAGTGTGCTGCAGCTGCCAAAAAGGCCAACACAGTGCTAGGCTGCATTAACAGAGGGATAGAATCAAGATCACGTGAAGTATTAATACCACTCTTCAATGCCTTGGTAAGGCCACACTTGGAATACTGCATCCAGTTTTGGTCACCACGATGTAAAAAAGATGTTGAGACTCTAGAAAGAGTACAGAGAAGAGCAACAAAGATGATTAGGGGACTGGAGGCTAAAACATATAAGGAACGGTTGCTAGAATTGGGTATGTCTAGTTTAACGAAGAGAAGGACAAGGGGGGACATGATAGCAGTATTCCAATATCTCAGGGGCTGCCATAAAGAAGAGGGAATTAAGCTATTTTCCAAAGCACCTGAAGGCAGGACAAGAAGCAACGGGTGGAAACTAATCAAGGAGAGAAGCAACCTAGAACTAAGGAGAAACTTCCTGACAGTGAGAACAATTAATCAGTGGAACAGCCTGCCTCCAGAAGCAGTAAATGCTCCAACACTGGAAGTTTTTAAGAAGAGACTGGACAGCCACTTGTCCGAAATGGTGTAGGGTTTCCTGCCCAAGCAGGAGGTTGGACTAGATGACCTTTAAGGTCCCTTCCAACTTTACTACTATTATTATTACAAAAGATTAACATGGCCACACTTTCTAGTGCATGAAACCATATAAAATGTTTACATTAAATTAAATTTATAATTAAAATTAAATCACAAGTATTACAGATTGTAACCTCAGTCCAAAGATTCTTATGATAAGCATCTACTGTACTTGCAAAAAATCTGTTATTATACAGTAGTGATAGGAAAGCCCTCGGTGAAGCAAAATAACTCCAGGGAGCCCCCTTGTGCCCATCTCTTTCTCTCTCTCTCTCTCTCTCTCTCTCTCTCTCTCTCTCTCTCTCTCTCTCTCCCTCCCTCCCTCCCTCCCTCTCTCTCTCTCTCTCTCCCCCTCCCTCCCTCCCTCCCTCTCTCTCTCTCTATGCTCCTCCCAATGACCCTCTCTTGAAGCCTTCTGTGCTGTAAGCACCCAACCATCCCTTGAGTGCAACTGATACTGCTGCTCAGCTCTGATATTAGCAGCTGGTTCATTCAGGAGCAAGATTTTACCACTGAGATCCTGCCAAGGTACTCTTCTATGCAACCTTCCGCTTCCTCACTGGATATTCTTTCAGTTTGGCCAGTCATGACTCCAGAGCCTTCAGGGGCAGAGTTGAGAACAATGGGACACACTTTTGTTGGTTCTGTTTATAGGCCAAGTCCTCAGCTGCAAGTCTGCCTGGTGCCTCAGCCCATTTTTCCCTCTCCTCTCAATTATTCATAAGCCATGGACATGGTACGTACACACTATCATATTCTCCAAACTCAGCTACAGACCAGTCAGGAAATACGACCAGATAAGCTAATTCTATTTTATTGTAAAACTACATTAACAAAATCTTGCAAGTGTGAAATTTCCTAGGTGGCATCTCTTTGCCCTGTCCCCCAAGATCATTACCACATACCATTTCATCATGCACCATGTGGGCCATCATTATCTGAGGGAGTAGCTCATTTTGGAGAGCAGAGTAACAAATAAGGCATGTTTTCAGGGTCCCTATAAATGGCATTGCAACCCGGTATATACCAATCCTGTCAGATCAAACCAGATAGGCAGATACCAGAGGAAATAGGCATCCCATCAAGTAAACAGGGTCGCTACCATATAGAGCTTTATGGGTAAAAACCAAAATTACGAATTGCACTTAGAATTAAATTGGCAACCGCTGCAGCTCGCAAAGCAGAGGTATCGCATAGGCATACCGATGCATGCCCATCATAGACCATGCTAGTGCATTCTCAACCAGTTAAAATTTTCAAGTGGTCTTTTAGGTAGCCTCATGTGTAGTGTGTTGCAGTAATTGAGCTCTGAGATGAGTAGGGCATGTTTGTGGACTTCTTGCCCCCAAAATGACTGCCCGGGTACTTACAGTGTTAAACTTTAATATTATTTAATAATACATGGATGGGACCAGGCTACCTATAGAACCCCCTTCGTCCCATTGCATCAGCCCGTCCCACCCACTCAAGCAGAGAAATAAGGATAAAAGTCCTTGAATTTGATGAATGGATTATAGGCTATAAGTCCTATAGTCTTGTAGTCTATAGTCTACAACATCATCGGTTAAAGACTTCCGATTGGTGAAGTCTAGGAAGAGAGCTTTCTCTGCTGTAGCTTCCGCCCTATGGATTATTCTCCCCCCAGAGGTGAAGTGTGTGCCATTCCCCTGGCCTTCCAAAAAGGAGTTAAGACATGGCTCTGCGGCCTTGCATGGAGAGCCCAGGGAAGCACACAGCCATGGATTTTGTTAGTCCCCTGAAAACCTTCCCTTCACTTTTTAACTAATTTTAATCTTTTCCCTCCTTTTCCATTTTTAATTTCTTTAAAACTTGTATATATGCTCTCTGATATTTTAACATTTTTTCTGTACACCATTCAGAGTCCCTCTTAGAGGGAGATGGACAGTGCAGAAATGTGAAATATAAATAAAGTGTGAGTATGCCCGGTTAAGCATGTATACTATCCTACACAGGCATTAATTATGCCTCGCACAATTGTGACCCATTCACCAAGATGAATTAACAATTAATGTTTGACCATCTCAGACAGAGGGCAAAGAGAGAAGATTAATTGATGAATCATAGTTGGTGCCTTGGTTTTTTTTTTTATTTGTTTTCTTTCCATTAGACAAGAAATATACAAGATTTCCCAATATACAAGAAATATTGATTTCATGGATTCTGGGCTGGACTCAATTTCCTTCCTCAGAAATGAGCAGGTCAGCTTTTAAAAATGCTCCAGTTTGGATGTCCCAATCTTTTTTTGCAATAACTTCCTCACAGCTCCTTTGATTTCTTTGTTCCTGAGACCATAAATTAAAGGATACAGTAGGGGGGTAATGTTGGTGTAGACAAGGGTTAACATCTTATCTCGACGGGGTGAGTAGCTAGACTTGGGTCGGACATATATGAAAGTGGCACAACCGTAATGCAAGACTGTGACCACCAGGTGAGAGATGCAAGTGGAGAAGGCCTTACCTCGGCCAGAGGAATCATGGATCCTCATCACAGCAAGGCAGATGCAGATATAAGAGATAAGAATGAGGATGAAAGGGAGGAGCAGGATGAGTGTGCAAGCTACAAGGAGGGGAAGCTCACTGATATAGCTCTTGGTGCATGCCAAGTGGAGAAGAGCAGGGACGTCACAAAAGAAGTGATCAATATGATGGGAGCTGCAGAAAGGCAAGTGGAAAACAGCCACAGTCAGCCCCAGAGAAACCACAAACCCCCCAAGGCAACAGATGACCAAAAGTTGAAGACAGAACTCTTGGTTCATCACTGCCATGTAGTGTAAGGGCTGACAGATGGCCACATAGCGGTCATAAGACATGGCTGCAAGGAGGAAACATTCAGCTCCCCCCAGAGCTACGAAGAAATGCATCTGGGTAGCACAGCCCACAAAAGAAATGGTGCTTTCCCCACTGCTCAACAGGCCAGCCAGCGCTTTGGGAGCAATGATGAGGGTATAACACAGCTCAATGGCAGAGAGCTGGCAGAGGAAAAAGAGCATTGGAGGACGGGAGGGCTCAGCTGACACAGCCAAGAGAATCAGCAGGTTTCCTGCAAGGGTAGCCAAGTGCAACCCAAGGAGGATGAAGAAAAAGAAAACTCGGAAGTGGAACACGTCAGAGAATCCAAGCAGCAGGAATCCCATGCTTAATGATGTCTGGTTATTGCTCTCCATGCAGTTGTCCACATACATTAGACCTGCAAGAGAGAAAAGAGTGAGATGAGAGAATATAGATGGAAAGATGAAAGTAACCATCCACCCATTCCCAGCAGTTTACTTGTTGTGGTCCAAGTACCCGTGGAAACTACTACCGGTAGCAGTAGAAAAGGAATAACAAACTAAACCCCACCAATATCCCCAGTTGTGAGGAATGATAGTAAATTGGGAGGCGTGCATAGCTTTCAGGTATTTTGTGTAAAATGTATTGTTACTCCTGCGGTATATTCTAGAAAAATGAGATCTTCTTGCATTTCCTTTCTTCTACATCTCCAGAAATCTTGCAAGAAGGAAAGGTAGGTAACTGACTAGATTGCAGTACCCAAATGCCTGAGCTGTGTCTTTGGGGAGCCTAACTGCCATGTTTCCAGAATCCGGAGAACAGTGGAGTATCCAAAATCATAGAATTTGGCCCTACTTCTGACAAAGCCACTTTATCATTTTATACCTAATAATGACTTGTAACATCACTATAATACATTATGCATTGGTGATAGTGTTGATGATTATCTTGTGTATTCCATGATGCAACTTAGCACTATTAATATTGTTCGATTGGGATTAAAAAATACTAGGAGCATACAATACTATATCCTAACAAGAAAATGACTTAAGGGTTTTCTAATGAAATAGCTTGATATCCCAGCATCCAACAACTCCATTTTTTTTTCTTATGAAAAGGTTTCCAGTGTTACCTGACCAGTGTGACCTGTTTTCTGATACTTACATTTTACATATAACCTCCCAAACCAAGGAATATTTATTTTATTTATATGGCAAAATAAAATACAATAATTATTTCTTGGATTGGGAGGTCCTGTGTAAAATGTAGGTGTGGAATATAATCATTAAACCTACCCTTTTCCAGAGTAACTTATGGTATGGTACACAAGAATCGCTACAGGAACAGCAACTGGGAGACTATCTATCAGTAATCATTCAATGGTAATTGCAGGAAGACATAAAATGGATGTGACCAGCAAACGGGAGTCTTTAGAATAGAGTAACATTTGAATGAAGTTTGCTGAATTGATTCATAAGTATAGTAATTGTTGCTGAAAGATATTGGCATGCACAACAGCAATATCAATAATATAGCATTATAGGAAACTTTCTATGAAACCCTTGTCTAATTTTACATGTAGTAATTACCAAAAAGCCATTCCCTCTTGTGATTGGAAATGCAGGAACCAAGTCTCAATACATCTAAGCTGGGGAGGGTTGTTTTAAGTAAATGTTCTCAAAGTATCCAGGTTGAATAGGAAACACAGAGAGCCTTAAATCAGCATGTAATAGTGAAGTCGGGCAAAAAGTTCTGTTTTTCTCTCTTTTTTAAAAAGTTTTTTATTTATAATACAGTTAAAACAAAAATGGACATAACGTGACATTCCAGAATAAATATTCCTAACAATTTGTTCCTCTTAATACATATAATTAATACATCATTCTTAATCTCTAAATAAACTTATTCTTCTATACAATAAAATTATATATACAGCTATATGTATTCCTGTCTTAACACTAGCTTGAAGCCCAAGCAGTTCTCCTTAATTCATACCAATAATAAAATTTGTCCCAGATTTCAAAGTAGTCTGATTCTGTCTTATCCTTCATTTCCATTGTGAGCCTATCCATTTCAGCACACGATAAAATTTTATATAAAATCTCTTCTTCTGTTGGAATTCCTTTATTCCTCCAGTTTTGAGCGTATACCAATCTAGCAGCTGTGAGAATGTGTAACATCAAATAGAATACCCCTTTGTCATATTTCTGTGTGGTTATGCCTAGTAAAAAGAGTTCTGGTTTTAACTCTACCACTAACATTAAAATTTCTTCCAGCCATTTTTTAACCTTATTCCAAAAATCACAGGCTCGTGGGCACTCCCACCACATATGATAGTATGTCCCAGTTGCCAATTTACATTTCCAGCACTTGGAAGAAACATTTGGATCCATTTTAGCTAATCTTATGGGCGGGAGATGCCATCTGTAGGACATTTTGTAGAGATTTTCTTTGTAGGAGGTGGCCAGAGTGAGCTTCCTGTTTCTTGCCCATAATTCTTGCCAGATGTGGAGATCAAAGCTGAGATCAAAACCCTACTCCACTTTAACATGGTCTCTTTTACCGGTTGCTCATACATTGCCTGGTCTAACAAATAATGATATAGTTTTTTAATCATTTTATCCTCCGTACCTAATAATATTTTATCCAGCCCTATCGGTTCTAATTTTATGCCTAACTCTTTTTTATCTTTCCAATATCTCGCCTGTAATTGAAGGTATGCCCACCATCCTAATCCTATCCCTTCGTCTTGAAAAATTTTCCTGGGTTTCAATTCCCCTCTCTCGTCTAGAATATTTTTATATGTTATAATCTTTCCTAGTTGGATAAACTTTGGATGTACATGCTTTTCTAAAGATGAGATCCAACTAGGGACTTGAGTGTAATTTGGTTGCCAGATTTTAACCCATACATCAGTTAGAGCTTGTCTGATATAATGCCTTTGGAAATATTTGTGTGTGTCAGAATCCAATCATATTTCATCTTTAATTATCAAATATAGAAACTCCCAATTCTGCCTTCTTTGGATTCTGCCATAAGAGGGAGAGAAGGGGGAGAACAAAGGGGCTTTATGGCCCTCACTTCCTTCAGTACACTTCAAAGAGCTGAATGCTGAATGTGTGTTTATTGTAACATCAAAGCGTTAGCACTAGAGGACCTTATCATAACAAAGCAGGGTATTTGCCTTTCATGTAGTTACCTGAAGTCTCCATCCAGACGGAAGAAAGAAGAAAGGGGGTGGAATTGTGATACTTGAAACTATCACTGGAAGGGGGGTTGATTGGGTGGGACTACTGGGGAACCCCTTAAAACCTTGAATGGGAGAGCTTGAACCCCAAGTCCTGTCTAGCATGCCTGCAACCATTTTCTCTTAATAAAGGATTCCTGTTGGAAGAATTATTCCAAGAGTTCTGTCTTCTTAAGATGCAAAGTGGGGTGGGTCCTTACATTAGACAGGACTTGCAAAATTAATCCACCTGGAAGGAAGACCCTTGCCGGGGGATTTTGCAAAAATTTACCATGTCAGACAATGGAGCAAGAGAGGGGGAAAACTCCCTGGAAAGAGAGCCGCTGACCCAGTTGGAACCTTGCCAGATGTTGGGATCCGAGAGGCCAGATTCCTCAGGAGAAGAAGTGGTGGAGACACAGGACCACAAGCCTCGCTGGTCGATGGGCGTTGGAAAGAAAAGTGAGTGGGGAAAGGAATCAAGAAAGGTGACCCTGAGACGGGGGACCAAGCAACCAGAATGGAAGCAGGAGATGGAGAAATCCCTGCACGCAAGTGAAGAGGGAGGAAGCTGGGCACCGTACTCAGACTGGATCCTAGAGAAAGCTATTGACCTGATGAAGAGAACTCTCAGCTCCCTAGGAGAGGAGAATACTGAGCCCTACGGCCGCCCCAGTTCCTGGAGCCGCAAAGGGAGAGACACCGAGGGGGACGTGGAACCTGCAACCCCAGGGACATCTACTGATCCAGGAGCCCCCACCCCCTACCGGACCACAGATGGCAATCTGGACGGAAGACACTACCACCCACAACAGAGGCACCGATCCATTCCAAGACGTCCACCGTTGGAAGTGAAATTCAAAGGGGAGCCAACACGCTTGGGGTTTTTCCTAACCCAAGTCCTCAGCTACATGGAGGAATATGGGCAGGATATTCCCAGCGACAAAGCCCGCATCCGGATCGTGCAATCTGCCCTGGATGGACCAGCTGCGGATTGGGTAGTGAACTTGCATGACTCCAATGCCCCAGAACTCAGTAACTTCAACCGTTTCATGTCCTCTTTGAGAAGACGATTTGAAGACCCCCTGGCTGATCGCAAAGCCCGTGAAAGGATAACAACGATGAGGCAAGGCAAACGCCCAGTGGCTGAGTATACACAAGAATTCCGGGCCATTGCCAGCAAACTGAATTGGCCAGAAGACATCCTCCTTGGCCATTTCAAAGACGGACTAAACTATGATCTATATGATGCTTGCCTGCCCCGAGGGGACCCACATCGACTTGAGGAATGGTACGTCTTGGCAGAGGAAGCAGAGATCGACATATTGAAGAGGCACCGCCGAGGAAAACAATGGAGCCGCCCCCCGCCTGAGCTGACACACCAACCGGTGAAATCATCGGATACAGCCAAGAAGCAAATGGGATGTTTCAAGTGCGGAAGAGAAGGGCATCGAGCTGTAGAATGCCGCTCAAAGGCCCCCCAGCACAACCCAGACAGATCCCCAACAACAACCCGGAAAGTATACACCACAGGGCCGGTGGATGCCTCAGATGACAGCTCGGAGGGCGAACCCCTGGTAAGTGGATGCATCACAACCCATCTTCAAAACAGTGACTATATTAATCCCCCCCATGCCCGAAGCTGTGAAGGTGAAAGCCTTAATAGACTCTGGCTGCACCCGCTGCCTCATTAGCCCAACACTAGTGGGGGAATCTGGGCATCCCATCCAGGAGACTGGAACAACCAATCTCATTTGGCCAGCTAGATGGATCCATAGCAGGGGGGGTGCCAGCTACCCTAGCCACTTTGCCAATACATCTCTCCCTGGGCAACCATGAAGAGGACTTAACGTTTGTGGTGACCCCAGGTATGGAATGCCCAATGATTCTAGGGATGGAATGGTTGAAAAAATGGAACCCCTGGGTAAATTGGAGGATGACAGAAATCAAATTCCCGAAGGGGGACCCTATGGACTTAAAACCCCAAGGGAGGCTACCAGAATCAAGAATAGAAAAAGCATCCATAGGAGAGGAAAAAAGATTAACAGAAATACCAGAGGAATATAGAGACCTTGCTGAAGTTTTCAGTGAGGAGAGGGCGAATGAGCTTCCCCCCCACCGACCCACAGACTGTACCATTGAATTCAAGCCTGGGGCAAAACTCCCGAAGCCCAGATTATACTCCATGAGCC